GGATCGAACATTGTTTCGTTCTGCTGTGCATGGGGTCGCTATGAGTCGGTTCCGACTCGATGGCACCTGACAACAACAACAACAACAAATGGAGAAAAGTTTGAAGTTGTTAAAAATTTCATTTTGCCTGGAATCACAATCAACACTCATGGAAGCAGCAATCAAGAAATCAAAGGACTTACTGCTTTGAGCAAATCTGCTGCACAACACCTTTTTTTTTTGAGTATTCAAGAGAAAGGACACTAACTTGAGACTAAGGTGCGCCTGACCCAAGCCTTGGTAATTTCAGTAGCTTTATTTGCATGTGAAAGTTAGACAGTGAATAAGAAAGACCTTACAAGAATTGATGCACTTGAGTTATGATGTTGGAGAAGACTATTGAAAGTATTATGGACGTCTAGAAGAACAAAAAGTTTGTATTGGAAGAAGTACAGCCAGAATGGTCCTTAGAAGCATGGATGGCAAGAGTTCATCTCTCATATTTCGGACATACTGTCAGGAGGGACGAGTTCCTGAAGAAAGAACATTATATTTGGTCAAATGGAGAGTCAGAAAAAAAGAGGAAGACCCCCAACAGGATCAACTGGCATAATGGCCGTAGCAAGGACTCATGTGTTATAAAAATTGTGAGGATGATGCAGGACCAGGCAGTGTTGTGTTCTATTGTGCACAGGATCTCTGTGAGTCGGGACAGATTTGATGACTTAACAACAACAGTAAATATTTTAAATCCTCTTCCCTTCCAGCAAGATAGGTTGTATTATCTGGATATCACAGGTTGTTTGTTAATGAGTCTTTTCTCAAATCCTGATGCTAGGTTCTTCTTCATATAATCCAGTTTCTGAGATTATTTGCTAAGCATATTGATGAAATACATATGGTGAAAGAATAGAACCCTGGTGCACACCTTTCCTGATTTTAAACCATTCAATAACCCAGTGCCTGCCTCTTGGTCTTTGTACAGGTTCCTTCTGAGCACAGTTAAATGTTCTGTAATACCCAGTTTTTGCATTGTTATCCATAGTTTGTCATGATCCACACAGTTGAAAATCTTTGTGCAAGGAACATATTCTGGTATTCTCTACTTTCAACCAAGATCCTTCTGACTTCAGCAGTGATATCCTTAGTCCCGTGTCTTCGTCTGAATCCAGCTTGAATTTCTGGTAGCTCCCTGTAGATATTTAAATAATGCAATTATCTTGAAAATGATCTTCAGCAATATTTTACTTGCATGTTATATTAATGATATTGTCTGATGTTGTCCACATTCTGTTATGTCACCTTTCTTTGGAATGGGCACAGATATGGACCTGTTCCAGTTGATTGGCCAGATACCTGTTTTCCAAATTTCTTGGCATAGAGGAGTGATTACCTTCATCGCTGCATACCAGTTTGTTAAAACATCTCAATTGTATTCCATCAATTCCCGAGTCTTGTTTTTCGTCATTTTCTTCAGTGCAGCTTGCACTTATTCTTTAATATCATTGGTTCACTACCATGTACTACTGTGGCTCTATGGGCTAACGCACTGGACTACAAAGTCGGTGGTTCAAGCTCACCAGCTGCACCTTGGAAACCCTATACAGTGTCACTGTGGGTTGGAACTGACTTGATGGCACTTGACAACAATAACCTTTGAAATGCTTGAACATCAGCTAGTTCTTTTTGTTTTAGTGACTTGATTTCTTCTACCTTCTTTGATGCTTCCTGCATCATTCAGTATTTTGCCCATGTTGTTGTTACGTGCCATCTAGTCGATTCTGACTCATAGCGACCCTGTTATAGGGTTTTCGAGAAGCAGCTGGGGGTTTGAACTGCCGACCTTGTGATTCAAAATCCAATGCTGATCCTACAGCGACACACTAGGAGTCCATTTTGACCATGTGTTGTTGTTGTTAAGTGCCGTCAAGTCGATTCCGACCCATAGTGACCCTGTATAGTGTTTCCAAGGAGCAGCTGGTGAGCTTGAACCACTGACCTTGCAGTTCAAATGACTTTGCAGTCTGACGCATTAGCGCACAGTGCCACACCCCAGGACTCCATAGAATCAATCCTTCAATATTTCAAGTTGAGGCTTGAATTTTTTCTTCAGTTCTTTCAATTTGAGAAATGCTGAGGGTGTTCTTCACTTTGGCTTTCTAACACCTGGTATTTGCACCTATCATTATAATACTCGACTCTGTGTTCTCAAATTACCCTTTGGCATTTTCTGTTCAGCTCTCTTATTTCCTCATTTCTTCTAGTTGCGGTAGTTTCTTTCTGTTCAGCTCTTTTATTTCCTCATTTCTTCCACTTGCTGTACCTTCTCTACGCTCCAAAGCAAGTTTCAGAGTTTCTTCTGACTCATTTTATCATTTCTTTCCTATCTTTAAATCACTTTGTGCTTTATTCCTGTATGATGTGCTTGATGTCATCTCATAGCTCTCTGATCTTCAGTCATTAGTGTCTAATTCATCAAATCTGTTCTTGAGATGGCCTCTAAACTCAGGTGGGCTATATGCAAGGTTATATTTTGGTTCTTTGTGGATTCTTCAGCTTCAGCGTGAACTTGCATATGAGCAGTTGATGGTCATCTCCACATCCCGCCCCTTGTCCTGTTCTGGTTGTTGATATTGAGCTTCTCCATGGTCTCTTCCTACAGATTTGTTGTTGTTGTTAGTTACCATCGAGTCGGTACGGACTCACAGCGACCTTATGCACAGCAGAATGAAATCCTGTCTGATCCTGGTCCAACCTCATTACTATTGCCACGCTTGAGTCCATCAGTGCTGTCACTTGGCCAATCCATCTTCTATGTATTCCATTTGATGAGGTCAAGATGTATCTTGTTCGGTGCCGTAGAGTTGCTATCAACTCACAGAGATCTTGTGCACAACAGAATGAAAAACTGCCATGTGCTGCACCAACCTCTCAGTCATTGTTATGCTTGAGTCCATTGCTGCTGCCACTGTGCCAGTCTATATCATTGGGAGCCTTCCTCTTTTCTGCTGACCCTATATTTTTTACCAAGCATGACGTTCTTCTTCAAGGACTGATCCCTCCTGATAATATATCCAAAGTGTGAGAGATGAAGTCTGGCCATCCTGGCTTCTAAATTAGGAACATTCTGGCTGTGCCAGGAATGACAAATTGTAGAGCATTGGCATTGCATACCTCATCACAAAGAGCATCTCAAGATCT